ACTTGTTTGATTAAAGCTCAATGCCTTGAAAAAGCCTTTATTTTATAGCTTGATTTCATCACAGTCTTGTGGTAAAGTCTACATGCACCAGTGAAAATCCATTACTACCTCTGGGAAAGCAACTTGAGACAAACCCTACTGGGGAAGATTAATAGTAGTATCTTCCTTGTATACAGAAGGAGGGAGAAAGCAAAGGTGAGCCCTAGCAGAGGTTGTCGGTATACCTCATGGATCAAGATAGGACCTTGGAATGTGGCACATTCAAGTCCAAATTCTATCTTTGTCCTTTATAAATGCAGAGAAAATCTCAAGATTTCTGAGCCCGTTTTCCAAGAGTGGAAAAAAAGATTAGCTTCACAGGGACTAAAATATGAGATAGATAGTATGTTTTCCAAATGCTGGTTATTGCATATAATCAATAAATGGTTTCATCTTTATTATTTCTTTAGCTGGGACTTGTAAGACAGTATGGCATAAGACAGTGCCTCCATGAGAACTCTTGAGATTGACAAAAATATTACTGTTTGTTCAGCTAACACGTGAAGATAGGACCCTGTCTCAGCCTCTGAGAGGGCAGAAGTGTGACTTCAGTACCTGCTAGTTACCAAACCCACATGGGTTTCATGTGGACCATGAAACCCTTTTCTGCTTGTGTCATTCTGCACGTCCCTAACTCTACTGAGCCCCCATGCACTGCGCTCCCTAATCACACCTTCTGCCTTTAAAATGCCACGTTCTCTGTGGAGGTGAGTTCAGTTCATGCCGGACTCTTCCCTATCGCAATAGTATATTATTATTAAAATCTGTCCGTACCAGTTTAACTGGTGTCAGGCTTCATTTATCTTTGACACTTCAAAGCTTGCTACACTCATGACCTAAAAAGCTTACTTAACATTTCTGTGCCTCATTTTCGTCATTTGTAAAATAGGAGCTAATCGTGCCACCTTGTAGAGTGGTTGTGAGCTCTGACTGTGTTAGCACATAAAAAGTATTGTATTTAGAACAATACTGGTTATGTATTTTTATTAACCAGGAAAGCTATTTAATTCTAGTGAGACACATATGGGTTTGTGTGTACACATACACACACCTACACTTGGCATAGCAAAGTTAACTGGATGAAAGAAATAAACATAGTGACTTTTTATCCAGTCAGTTATTGACAAACAATAGAGTTTCATGATATAGTCCCTACAGATATTGACCTAGAACAAGAATGACTGGTATGCAAAGCCCTGAATGTAAGTAAATACATATTAGGTTGAAAAAATAAATACTATCTGAGAAGAAAGTTCCTTCATAAAAGACATGTGAAAATTGCAAAGGTCAGATTGGAATTTCAAACTTAATAAGATCCTCTGTAGGATCCATAAAGCTTTACAGTTGTCAGTGGTTCCAGAGTGTGTGTAGGTCAAGTCTGTGCCTTTGACTGCCTGGTCTTTCCTAGGCCTAGCTCCAGGAAAGCTCATGGGGCTGGGCTGCTCACTCTTTGTTGACTGCAACCCAGCAGGTAAGAACAGAAGATCAAGTTGCCTACCCTTTACTCAGTCTGGAGTGATTCGCATTTGGACATCCCCAAGGCACAGAGGGATAGCATTTATCCCTCTGTAGTTCACAGCCTGAAGGAGTCAGTATCTCACCCAAGATGTGGGTCTGTTCAGCCACTCTCACTTGCCCAGCAGCAGAAGCCTCATCAAGACTTGCCTTATCTAGTGCCACAGCTTCTCAGCCCAAATGATCTGTTAAGAGAGCTATGGTGAAACTACAAAGACTTATTTTCTTGCTTTTTAGTTTAGTTGTTGTTACGGTTTATATCTAGGTGCCGCCCCCCCCAAGCCTCATGCACTCGTAAGTGTGGCTTTCAGGAGCTGGCTGGATCATGGGTGTGTAATACTGGGTCATGGGTGAGTGATACTGGATTAGTCCACTGATGGGGTTATAACTAGGTGTGATGTTGGGAGGTGAAGCCTGGTGGAAAGAGGTGGGTCACTGGGGATGAGGTCTGGAGGGTATATCACCTTCGTCCTCCATCCCTTGCTTCTTCTGGCCTGGCATGCCACTGGCTCTTTCTACTCTGTCATGCCCCTCTGCTGTGCCAGCCTGCCTTGGAGCCACCCTACTATGGACTGAAACCTCTACAGACTGTGAGCTAAAATAAACCTCTCCTCCTTTAACTTGTGGGTATCAGGTATTTTGTCTCAGCAACTAGAAAATTACTAAGACAGTTGTATTGACCTAATTCCACTGGGGTGTAATAAAATTTAACAAGAGAGAATCTCTATTTATCATATTTCTTTCAATCCCTATTTCTTGTTCTAAGGATTTTTTTCCATTTAGATTTTTATAAAGTGAGAATGATACAGAATCTCTATGAATCATCAAGTGTCTTAGTCACTTTCTTGTTGCTGGGACAATATACTCAACACCCACAATTTAAAGGAGAGGTTTATTTGGGATCATATTTTCAGACCATGTTTGGCTGAGAAAGGGCATAGTGAGAGGATCTGGGTGGAGGAGAACTGCTTACCTCATGGCACCCAGGAAGCAGAAAGAAAAGGAAGAGGGAGATATACCTTCTAGCTCATAAGCCCCAGTAACGTACCTCCAACCGCCTCCTACCTTCTAGCAACAATTCAGCAGCAGCCCTCCTATGATCTAATACCTTTCCAAAATCCCACCTCTGAACACATGAGGACTTTGTGGAACACTCTAGATCTAAACCATAACAACAACATTTAGATATATTTATTTTGAAAAAGTTAACTTCTTGTAGTATAGAATATTATTGGTGAGATGCTTTTCTAGAACCATGTCCTTCAAATCATGCTAGGAGGAACGGGAATTGGGAGGAGGAGAAAAAGAAAATCAGAAGACTGGCTTACTTTGGGAGGATTCTTCCATCAGAGATGTGCCACTTTGAGGGTTTCACAAGAGTATTTCAGGACATAATTGTTTCTGGTACTGAAGGGTTCTTAAGGGGAAGTAGGAGCCAGACTAAATTCACCGTGTGGACTCTCACAACTGAAACACCCTTGGAGCTTGGCCCTCCTGCCTTGTCTTGGAGCCAGACCATGCATGCTATGGTAGCCAGGGAAACAATAGCCCAAGGATACTGGTACCTTTAAAATAAACAGCTAACCATGTCCCACCCCCATATATTTCATTCTCAGTAACACCTCTTTGTAGTTCTCGTCCCCAAAACTTTTTCCTTCCTTTTTCCCCATTTTCCAGACTTCTTCCCCCAAACAATCCCAAATAAGCTCTTTGTTTCTTTTCTTTGCTCATTGCTTCAGTGCTTAGCTATTCACATCAGCCCAACCTTGGATTCTTCTGAAATTTTTATTTTCTTTATTACCCAGATCCTTCACAATTATATAGTACTAGGGAGCTGTCATGATCAGAAAAAGAACCCTCCTCAAGACTCCCAAACAAATCATAACACTTTTTTTCCCCTAAAAGTAAAGAAAGGGGAAAAAAGGCAGAATGCTTAGGTGATAATATTTTTGAAGCTGTCATATAAGCTTTGGTGATCAATTACTTAGTGCAAGAGTAAATGGGGATTAGAGGCCAGGTTATGTAGCAGATGTCTAAAGTAACCCTGGATGTTCAGTTACACTGAACTGTGTTCCTATGGTACTAGCGCAACTGCTGAGCAACAGTACTGGAAGTTGCAAAGTTTTCTTACCAGAAACTTACACCATGTTCACACACAAAAAAATTTTATTTTAGTGACTCAGCTAAATCAGTAGATTCAATTTTTAACACATTTACTCCTTCCCCTCCCCCAGCTGACCTCCTTGCTCTTTCTTAAATGTGACAACATTGGCTTCTTAGAGCCATTGCACTTGCTCACTCCTTTCCTTCAGTCTCTGCTCACAAATTTCAACTCTATCTAAGCTTATATCTTCATAGGGCACTGCACAATTTTTGTCCTATTTTGTGTCTGGGAAGTCTTAGTTCAGGCTTCCTGTAAAGCAAGGACCTGAAGCAAAGTTATGTGATAATGCCTTATTGGCAGGTGTCATTTCAAGGAAAAAGGGCAAGGAGGCAGGGAATGAGGGAAAACATACACAGTGATGCTTTAGGAAGCTGGCCACTGTTGCCTCAGAAAACATTGCTGATGGTCCACCTCCAGTTCAACTGCTGGTTCCTTCCCATCTCTTTCTCAGGGAACCATGTTCCTTCCTTCAGGTGCCAACTCCCTTGTACTTTTCTGTTGTGCTACCTGCTCTATTGGGACAGCAGCAAAGCCACTCTGGACTTGGGCATGGGAACCGCTCAGCTCTACCTCCTATTGGAGGTTAGGGGGACACTGTGGCTTTATGACCTACAAGACTGTGTGCATTGGTGCTGGAATGGCTCCAGGCTTAGGTATGGGAGGCAGGTGGGGCCAAGAGGACCTGGGGCATGCAGAAATTTGGTCTAGTACTCCAAAATTCTCTACCTACTTGTTTGTCATCTCCCCTGTCTGGAAGTATAGAACTTGCTTGTTCTGTCCAGTGGTCACTATATCCATACTCATAAAAACAATGTTTAGAATTTACTAAGCATTCAATAAATAGTTGTTGAATTATCAAGTTTCTACTATGTGCTGGGGATTGTTATAGATCCCAGGAGAGACTGCCACATTCTTACAGTTAGAAAAATTAAGGGAAAAATTAACTTTTATGGTGCTATTCAAAATAAGAGCAGGTTCTAGATTTCCAGACTTCTGGGCTTTAATCTATAAGAAACAGTGTTTCACAGTGTAAGTTCTCTTGACTGTGCTGTTTTTTTTGTAAGGAATAGGTCTTTCCAAAAAAATAAAAAGTAAAGAAAGAAAGAATAAAAAAAAAAAAGAGTAAGCTGACTCCCTTTGTGAACATTTGATCTCTCTCTATGATTAATTTTCTGATTCAGAAAATGGGCATAGGATCTACCAAGTGAATGTCCCCCCAACATAGCACTACCTGACACTATTAGCTTCCTAAGGCTGCTGTAACAAAGTACCATAGACTGAGTGGTTTAAACAATAGAAATTTCTTTATTTTCTTACAATTCTGGGAGCTAGAAGTCCAAAATCAAGGTGTTAAAAGGGTTAGTTTCTTCTGAAGCCTTTCTCCTTGGTTGATAGATGGCCATTTTCTCCGTTTTCACATGGTCTTTGCTCTATTCAGATCTGTGGCCTTACTTCCTCTTCTTATGAGGACATTAGTTCATGTCATATTGGCGCCCACTCTATGACTTTATTTTTATTTATTTATCTCTTTAAATACTCTATCTCCAATCATATAGTCAAGTTCTAAAATAGGTACTGGAGGTTAATATTTCAGTATATGTATTTTTTCAGAGAATTGTGTGGAAGAGGAACACATTTCAGCCTATAATACTAATCCTAAAGAATTTGTTTTACAAAATGTGAGGTAACATCTGGGCAAGTTTTGAAAGTTCTCATTATTATAGGCAGCTAAGATAGATAGAAATATAATAAGTAGTCAGACAGGGCTGAGGCTTTGAGAGAGTCAAGACAAAATGTGAAAACAGGCTGGGGATTTAGCTCAGTGATTCTGCCACCTGCCTCGCAAGCGCAAGGACCTGAGTTAGATCCCTGGTATCAAAAAAAAAAGTGAAAACACACTACAACTGTGTCCAGAGACACATCAGTTGGGGGCCAAGCCTCAAGATGACAAAAGGACCAGGCCTACATACATCTTCAAAGGATGAGATGAGTGATAACACCTGGTCTGGTAAAGTCTAGATAGGCATCAGTTGCCTCAGTAGGTGACCAAGACCTCCATATCCATCACTTACCCGAGAAGTTCTTTGTTCTTTTCATGTACTCTTACCATGTGACTTGCTTCCCTTCCTGGTTGGATTACTTGCTTCCTTTTCCCATTGGATCACTATTGCCTAGGTGACTGTACTTGTAAACTTATTAGTAAATATATATATATATATATATATATATATATAGCATATATAGCTATAACCCACGTTGTACAGGGAAGTTTTGCTCTATAAAACTTCCCTGTAAAGTGGAGTCTCTGGTTACCCACTTGGGACCCCTTCTATCTCTCTTAGGCAGAAGCTATCTTTCTCTCAATAAATTCTTCCTATTCCTAACTTTCATTATTCCTAGACTTCATTCTTCAATTTTAGAAAACACAAACTCTGTGTATCAAACATCTAAAATGTTGGGAGTTATAATATTTCTCTTTTATCATGTGGAGGTTCTATTTAATCTCCTATAATCATACATCATGATGATTGTCACCATGCAGCAAATTATACCCATGGCTTGCTGCCTCCTGTCTTCTGCGGTTGACTCTTTCTTTTCTTCTCCTTGGCCCCAAACTGAGACCAGTAAAACAGGCACAGCAGGTTACGGAAGAATTTGGAAATCCAAGAGAGTTTTATTTCGGGTAAATGGACATAATTATCACCCATTTGTGTTTCCATGTTTAAATTACCATGTTTATTTATATCAACACAAAATACAATAAAACAACTTACAAAACAACCATTTCATCTTCATGTAACAACTCTTCAGTGAACAGAAGTACTACCATTCATGTTTTGGCCTTTTCAAGGTCCTGCCTTGGGTCAAAACAATATTTAGAGAAAGAGAAGATTCTTCCATAATAAAGACAAAGGAAACTTCTATTTTCTAAACTCCCAGTTCAGTAATAATACAAGAATAGCACCAGCGGTCCACATAGAGGGGACTGCCACTGCTGTGTCATTGGCAGTGTACCTATGTGTGGCTCTAGACTTTCCCCCAGTCCTAGATGTCAACCAGGAGCCTGTGTGTACACCAGGCCTTCAGATGTCCAAGGAGATTGCTTAGCTATCCTTTTCATAAGGCTGTGTGCTCCCTAAATGTCTGATATATCTGAGTTAGGAACCAGGAAAAAAAAGTGGCCAAATATATACAGTTCTATCTGGTAGGTGAAGAAAGTTAGAAATTATGCAATTTGATGCATAACTACTATGAAGTGTCCACCACATAGTGTGCTATTCACCTAGTAAAGGGCTTCACATGACAATTTAATCAAAAGTATTAAACAATACACAACAGTGCAATAACTCATCTGTATTCCAGTGGTTTAAATGCTATTTGTTTAGTCTCAGGATATTTTCAAACAAATGATAGTTGTTGCTTAACTATTACCATCTTTCTATCATTTACTGACAAAAGAAGCTGTCTCAGGCAAAAGAGAAAGTGGTTTGGAATAAGATGATGTAGATTCTGAACCCACTTCTGAGCCTTAGTTTCCTTATGAAGATCCAAGGTGAAAGTGGTCTGTAACACAGCAGTAACCATAAGAGATAATATCCTACAGTGTCTGACTCTTCAATTAACTGATAGATCCCTAATTGTCCACATGTACTTCATGAGTAAAATCTTACTTTTGAGTGTGCAATGCCAAGCTATCATATGCATCTGAAATGTGGATCTAGTGTTATAGAGATGGGAAGAGAACATAGATTTAAAAGCCTAGAATCCATGAGGGGTTTATGTACTTTTAATGTGCTTGATTTAAAGTCATTTAAGATTTCATTGTGTTTACTTCATGTACCTTTTATATTATTGAAACTCTTTTTGAATAAGGTAGCCATTTAAAGTAATTTAAAAAAATAAATGAAAATTATCATATGACAATTACATGATTTAGAATACCATCAGGAAGAAGTAATAGTTTGAAGACTTAGAGACAAGAAGGAAACTGAGTATAGAAGATTATTTTTCAGGGAGCTTAAAAATAAGTTAAATGATAGGGTTATCATTTTGTTTTTGCTAAAAGCTTAATTTATAAGTTACTTCTTCATCTGTAAAACAAATAGAATACTTACATGCCTAACTTTAAGTGGATACAAATTCACAGAAATTATTAACACTTAATTTTCCACCTTAATTTGGGCTGTCTTTGGAAGAATCACTTCTTTTCAGCTAAAGCAAAATCAGAATCTACTTTCTCACAGAATTTTTTAAAGTGCTCCTTTAGCAAAGGGCAGATTTACAACAAGTTTAGAATAACTGGCAATGTGACCATATGGATTTTGTGACTTTGCTGAGACAAAGACTTTAGGTAGCTGTATTCCTGAAACAAATGAATTCTAATTTCAAACATTTTTCAAATGCAAATAAGGCCGCCATGAATCATTGTGAGGATTTTTTGAGGCATTAATGCAACAGAGTTAGTATTCCTCAAATAATCCCCAAAGTCACTTCTTTTGCTAAGGAAATTCCTCTTCTTGATTATTTTGAACCTGTCAACAGTGTCTCATGTTCACACAGAAAATAACTGATCTCCAAATGACCTATGATTATCCTAAACCAGCCTCCTTTTGAAGCAAGCAAGCAAGAAAGCAAGCAAAACAAATAGTGCATTAACCTTTCATATCGGTGAAACAGACATTTTTCCCATGTGTGAAGTAGTTTACCCATCTGTGGAAAGGTCTGTCTTTTGTTTTTCCCTGTGTTTATAGGTTACATTTTTAAAAGTACTAGTAGAGCCTCTGTATAATGGATTGGTTCCCTAAAAAAGAAAGAAGGAAATAAAAAGGTTTAAATTAAAGTGTGTACATGTTGCTATTATACCATATCTCTAAACATTTTCATTATAGTTCAAATTGGAAGAGTCAAGTTCAATCTTAGAAGCCATTGGAATAATTTTAATTTATTTGATATTTCATACTCATAGCATTTTAAAATTCATATATTTTCATTTTATTTTTAATATGCAAAACCAGTCTCATAATGTGTATTCTAAAGATTCTTACCTTTTTTGGAAATGCACTAACTAATAGATAGAAAATAAAGCTTGGGCTTGGGCTGTTTCGTTCTGTTTTTCCAGTACTGAGAACCAGGTTCAGGTCATAGAATGCACTCAGTTACGTACTGAATAAGCAGAATGAATATTGATAGGTGAACCAAAAATGAGATATAAGGCAAAAAAGTAAAAAAAAAAATGGGAGAAGTGAAACTGGTAGAAATATACAAGTATGAGTGATATAGTATCTGCCTTTAAGAAACGCACTGTTGCTAGTGAGAGGAATCAAAAGGATGAGATGGTGCTAAAATGAGATCAAAACTTAGAAGGAAAGCAACTGGCTGCTCCGAAGGCAGAGACAGACCCCTTGGACAGTCAGCTTCCTCTGAAAGAACCAGCTGGCTTTTGCCCACTACCTAAGAGGGTGTATCGCAAAGAACTGCAAGAGACTGGTGTGTGGGACACTAGGTTCATGAAGAGAGGAGGTCTCAAGGTGGATGAGGCAAGTCAGTTTGTCAGTTTGTCCTTGGGGTCTGGGGAGGCTGTGTGCCGCCAAACCTGGATAGCTCGGCTGTGCTGTTTGGGCAGCAGACATTTCAAGTGTCAAGAGCAGTGGTAGTGTGGCCATAAGAATCAAAGGACAAACCCTGTCTAGTTGTTTTTGGCAGAAGCAAGGGGTGTATGTAAGGTGCAATTTCTTCTCTCCAACTTTCCAAGGATGACCACTTAGGTTTTGGCATCAGACAGCCATAGTTCAAATCTACTCCACCCCATGACCTTAAGCAACTCTGAGTGTTGGTATCCTCATCTAGTAAAGAGGGATTAACAAACTTCCTACTTCATTTATGAGCTAAAATAATTTAACACTGTGCCTGGCACATAGGAGATGCTCAATAAATTCTGCCTGTTCTTATTAGTTCTTATTTACAATTTTTTCTTCACACTTACAATTTCCTTTTCCTTCAAGGCCTGAGAGGGTTGTAAAAATATTTTCCTCAGGGGCTCAGTTACTTTTGAACATTTCCAAGCTCATTTCTGAACATGTCTGGAGTCTAGGTACTACCTCTAAGTTGCTAAATCTTATACTTTTATCTCTTTATCCAGTGAATTGCAGAGATAGTAGCAATTTCTAGGCATAGACTTAAAGAAAAACTTATTTTTTACCTCAGTACAATTCTTTCCTTTCAGTTCTTAGAACTAAGTAAAACAAAATCATTCCCTTCACCTCTCTGAATATTGCCCGTAGACTTGCTGTTATATTGCCTTGTTCATGCATCTTAGGAGAGAGAAGTTATCTCTATATTGAGGGCAAATAGAAAAGGGGCCCCTTGCTGGGTGTGGTGGTGCATGCCTATAATCTCAGCACTCAGGAGGCTGAAGCAGGAGGATCGTTGTGAGTTCAAGGCCAGACTGAGCTACATAGTGAGACTTTGTCTCAAAAAAAAGGCAGAACCTTGATTAGAGGTGGATGATGGGGAAGGCCAGGTTGCCATATTGCTTTTTTTTTTTTATATAAAGTATGCCCTTATTCTGTATTTTATTCTTTTCATTTTTTTCTTAGTGCATGTTTATATTACATAATGATTACATTTGTTGTGGGGAGTTGGTACATGCACATAACTTCTTTGAGTCCTTAGATCATCCTGGATAATTTCAGTGTATCTCTAGTCCTTATTTATTCCTGCTGCCATAAGAGTTTGGAATTTTTGAGGGTGAAGGGAAGACTGATGTGATTTTATATGTGGGTAGAGTTTTATTTGCAAACAAAAATCATGTGTGGAATTCTATGAAGTTTCAGAGACTAGAAACTGCTTGCCTACAGAAGGATGAGGGACTTAGATGAAGAGGCAAGATAGAAAAACATAAAGAGGAACAGGCTGAGGATGGCAGACGAAGCCTTTCCTGGAGGAAGAGGAGGGCTTCACAGAAAAGGCACTCTGAAAGAGCTAACAAGGTTTGAGTGGGGTCAGGTTAGATCTTTGTAGGACCAAACTCTTGCTTGTAGGCCCCGCCCCACATCATGTGAAGCATATTAAAATGTACCCACATCCCACACTGAATAGAATTTATAAGTGCAATAAAAAGAGTAATTTGAGTTGCAACTGACAGAATAAAATGTTATTTTATAGATATTTAGTTAAATGTGTAATTTTGATTGTACAGTTTTTATTCTGTACTTTGAAGCAACTTCATTTACTCAGGTATGTAATATTTGGAGAATGGGTCCCTTGCATAGCAGGACAATGGATAATGCAGACTCCATCACAGCAGAAAACTAAGGAAGCTATGTAAAAGGGCAGGGAAGAGCGAGTTCATATTGCTGTTGGCCCTGCTCTTGTTCCTGGGCCTTGGAGAGAGATGTTATGTCTACATTGAGGCAAAGAGGAAGTAGCGTGGTGATGAGCGCTCAGAATGTGCCCACACCCAGAGCAGTTAGCAGGAGGGAGTGTAGAACTGTGCAGCATCACCTCCATGGGTGCCATGCAGCTGAGACCTCCCTGAATTGGAACTCCAGCTGGGATGCCGACCTGGGTCCCGCCCCACTATTTAGATGGGCCAGTTTTTCCCTAACCATCTGCAGTGACCACACTGATTTTCCCCTGGAATACTGGGGTACTAATTGAGGCTATGGATTCTGAAAATGCAATGGCACAGGTTTCAAGCTTGAAAAAAGTGGTAATCAGAAAACTGTTCTGACCTGCAGCTTCCTTAATGACCGCCTCACTGTCAAATGCAGACCTGATTTGCTTAGCACAGAACAAAATCAATCCATGACTGCAAGAAATGTCAGGCTGAACATTTTTTCACCTCAACTTAATGACTTGTCAGCCTAGAAAAATGTCTAATCAAAGATGAATTTAAATATCTTCCATTTATGTTTTCATAAGGAATATGCAGGGGGTTATTTCTTAAATGTAATAAAAAGATAATCTCTCTTTATAGCTGTGATGAAATGTTTCAGGAGGCAAGAGAGGATCTTTCTGTCCTAAGCTCTGTCAATTTAGGAGTCCAATGGGGCCCTAACAGTAAGGAAACTGTACTGTCCCCTCTGTCCCTGGGTTTTAAAGATCAGTCAAAATCACTTCTTGAAAAGAAATAGGTTTTTGTTAAAAACTGAATTAAATTGAAGACCTTTAAATGTATGCACCAAGCAATGCTTTTCTTTTTCAGGAGGATATGTTAGTGAAATTCAAACTAAATTATTGGAATTAAACCTCTTTTGCATTCAAGTGAATAATTATTACCCAGTCATTATCTAGTCAGGAACATCAAACATTTGTTATTCAAAGAAACTCAATTTAACAGTGAAATACTATTTTTCATTTATGCTTTTGTCTGTTTAATACCTGTTTTTGTCCCTTTTAGATGAAGAAACAGCAAGAATTTGGCATTTGAATTTCAGTCATGTTCTACATCCCGATGGAAAACAATTCATGTTTTGGGGCAAAATTAACTGTTAATTAAAATGTTATTTTAAAGATATGAATCATTTGTCAGTACTCGTGTCTTTGTATGAGAACATTAAAATATGCTGGTTAGTAGATTCACATCACATAATTGGACAACAGTTTGTTTGCAGAACAATTTCTTATTATTTCTAAGGGATCAACCAAAGGTTGTGCTTGGAAGACCAATTAACAATTAGAGTTCAACTCTAGTCTCTAAAAGTTTGGGAAATCCCTCAACCTTTCTTCAACTAAGTTTACTCACCTTCAAAATGGAGATACCAAAACTACTTCACAGGGCTGGCTGTTTTCTACCTACTTGCTGCTATTGCTCCTCTTGCCAGCTTAACCAGATTCTTTTCCTGGTTGCCCTTCTTTTATTTTATTTATTAAGTTTATTGGCACATTTTAAGTATACAAGATGATGATATTTACCATTGGGAATTTGTACCTGTTCATGATATATCTTGGTTCTTACTTTTTTCCCCACTCCCGTGCCCTTCCTTCTACCCCTCCACCTCTCCTTATTTACAAAGACTTTGTTGCCATTTTTTCCTTTCTCATATTTATTCCTTTTCTTTCTTTCTTTTCCCTCCCCCTCTTCTTCCTCTTCCCCTTTGGATTTTTTCTTCCTATTTCACATTATCTATTATACATTTTGATCCTTATTTACACTTTCAGTTTTTCACACCAGAGAAACTATTTGGTATTTATACATGTGTATCCTATTTATTTCACTTAAGAGCTACTCCTCAGTGTGCATCCATTTAGCTATAAATGTCTCTAATTTCTCATTCTTTATGGCTGAGTAGTACTCCATTTTGTTAAAAATCCACATCTTCTTTATCCAGTCTCCAGTTGATGGGCAATTGGGCTGTTTCCAAGTTTTAGCTAATACAAACTGTGCCACTTTAATCATGGGTATACATATATCACTGTGGTCTGATTCTTCTAATACTTTTGGGAAGATACCCAGCAGGGGAATAGCTGGGTCAAATAGGATCTCTAATTCTAGTGTTTTTAGGTAATTCCATACTGATTTTCACAGTGGTTGCACCAGTCTACACTCCCACCAGCAGTGGAGAAGGGTTCCTTTGTCCCCATAACCCCACCAGCATTTGTTACTGGTTGATTTCTTGATAGCAGCCATTCTTTCTGGAGTGAGGTGGAATCTCAGGATTTTTTTCATTTGTATCTCATGAATGACCAGTGAAGTTGAACATTTTTTCATATCTTTATTTGCTGTTTCTATTTCTTTGTCTTAGAAATGTCTGTTCATTTCAGATACCCATTTTTGGATTAGGTCTTTAAATTTGGGAA